TTTCCCTCTCCCTTCTCTCTTCCCTCCTCTCTCTAAAAACCAGTTAAGCCCTGGCTGGGTAGCTCAGTTGGTGGGAGTGTCCTCCCGGTATGCCAAGGTCACGGTTCAATACTCAGTAAGGGCACAGACAATGGTCAATCAGTGAGAGCATGATTAATGAGACAACAAAATGATGTTTCCCTCCCTCCCTCCCTCTCTTAAATCAATCAACCAATAAAAAGAAAAATCAATTTTAAAAAATAAAAGCAAAAAGTGTGGGGCTGGGATTCACACCTGGATCTGCAGACACACCCAGGCCAGGCATTTGCACAATGTGCCTCCCTCCTCCATCCCCCAAATTCTTATTCATCCTGCAGAGCCCCACCCCCAGAGAGTCTGCTTCTCCAAAATGGAGGGTCACCATCCTGAGAGACCCTTCACCATTCTCCTGGGTCCTCACATGCCCCCTAATTCCTTCCTTTCTATTATCTTAGTTTCTCCAAGTTCTCCTGGAATCCCAACTATTGTCCATGAAACTTCCTGTGCATGGCACTGGGTCAGGACCCTTGTGTCCGCCCAAAATTCTTCATTGTCCTCAGGTCCTGCAGTCCCCAAATGAGGTGGTCAATAGATCCCCCTCTATGGCTCCTGCTGTCCACCAGGGACCCCCAAAACCATCCCTTCCACAGGCTCCCCTGGCCTTTTTTTCCCCTCCCCTCCCTTCTCCAGCTCACAACTCCCCACCCTCCCAAACCATTTCTCTGTGCATGGAACCTGTAAATTTTCTTTCTGCCTCACTCTTTTGGGGAAGCATGGGTCTTGCTTGGAAAGTTTGTAAGGAGGACATTGGAGAAAAGGGATGTGTCCTTATGGCGGCCCACCCTGTTTATCTGGATTTTGACGAAGGCACTGCCCCTAATTATTCCTTGACCTTTACAAACAAGTCTGTGCTCCTGCAGACCCCCGGGTGTTTACTGGAATCATTATGCTTAATCTTTGGTGCCCTTGCTTAAAGGACACTGCAAACACATGTGTCCTCTCAAGATTACTTACCTTACTGATTGTATCTAAAAGATAAACTTTATCTCTCAATGTGCTGTGACCATAAAATCCTGAAGAGGCAGGCTATTGAGGCTGTCTGGTTCCTTTAGCCAGGCCGTCCCTTAGCCCTCTCTTTCACAGCAATCACTGTGTCAGAGTTATCATTCATCCGATGCTCAGGGTCTGCTGGTCACACCATGCAAGGTGGTGCCCCATGTGACTACCAAAGAATTCTAGGAGACATGGTGGAAACCTTGAATTGGAAGAGGATTGAAGTGAAAGTAAGTGCGCAGTAAGTCATTGGAGCTCACTGGGAATATCCAAATTCCAGGGTATGTTTTTCAGCTAAAGTTTTACAATGGGACAGAAGTTTCCCATAAAACAACAATATATAACAGTGTTTAAACATTTGTGAAAGGTAAATGGTGCCTCAGTTACCAAGAAACAATTAAAGGGCCCTTTGCAGACTGTCATATCTTATAATCCTGGGTTCCCCGATGCTGGAACATTAGACCTGGATCTCTAGGAACAAGAAGGTAGGAAATTAAAGAGAAATCAGGCCCAGGGACACCCTTCCTCTCTGTAAAAAATACAAAAATATATATTTTTTAAAAAGCCTACAGAATGCCAGGAGGATCTACTACCCACCTCCTCCTGAAGTAGAGCCTGTAGAGCCTGTAACACCTAAGGCGCTCAATCCTCTGATCCTCCACCTCCGATGTGGGAAGGCTCATCATTGGTCCTCGGTTATGGGATCAGGTGGCAGGCTAGCTACGCTACAAGGTCCATGAACTAGATCCTCTATTATGGGGTCCTGTGTTCAGGCAAGCCATGTTAGAAGAAGAGCATTAGGCTTGCCCAGTTATTTAAGATCAGCAAGGTACTAGAACTCACGAACCTCTCTCCTTTAATACCTTTAAAGAAATAAGGAAAAGTGTTAGACAACATGGGGCTAACAGCCCATTTACAAAAGGATCTTAAAGCCTGGTCTGAAAATGACCACAGGACGCCATGGGACTGGCAGGTTTTGGCTAAAAGGACTTTAGATGCCAGTCAGTATCTATTATGGAGAACAGGACATGATGAGATCTGTGAACAGCAGGCTGACCAAAACAATGTAGCGGGCGCTCATCACCTGACAGCCCCAAATATGCAGGGGCGGGGACGATATGTTAATGTACAACAGCAATTGAATCTGTACCCTCAAGTATTTGCCCAAGCCTCTCTGTGCACAGTGGCCTAGAGTGTATTCCTGAAGGCGGAATTCCGCAAGGCTCCTTTGTCAATGGGCCCCTGGAATCTTATGTTGACCTTGTAAATCGCCTTATCCAACCATTCTGCCACAGATCAGTCATAGTGAGGCTGAGATATTCTCTCGTTGCAACTGGCATATGAGAATGCCAACGTTCATTGTGAAAATGCTATGCAGCTGATCTGGGGAAACGTAACCATGGTGGGGGATTTGTCAGGGCTTGTCAGCTAGTAGGAACCGAAACCCACGGGACTCAAATGTAAGCCATGGCTCTCCAGGCAGGGAATAAGGGCAAAACAGATTCCAAATGCTATCAGTGTGGGAAATGGGACATTTTACAAAGGATTGCAAACCTAAAGTAGCAACCTCTGGCCAACCATTGCAAATCAACATTTGCAGGGAAACACCCAGGGGGCCAGGCCCGGCCCCACAACAAACCGGGACACGGATGGCCTTCCCAGGGCAGACGGGAAATCACTGTCTACTCCCTCCCAGCAGCTACCACTGGGAGGGCAGCACTGGACTTACTCCGACAGAATTGATTCTACAGGAAGGGGCGGACCCTAAAAGGGTCCCTATGGGGACTTGGAGGCCACTGACACTGGGCACGGTAGGCATTGTTTTGGGGCGCTCCAGCCTTAACTCAAAAGGAGTCACTGTAATACCAGAGACCTTGTTAGTGTTGACCAGGGAGAGATCCAGGTGCTCATGCCATGCAAGGGGTTGTATATTTTCCCCCTCACAAACTAAGATCCTGCAACTGTTGTTACTACCATATTGGCTCCAGAACGCTCTAGGGAATGAGAGACATCTAGGGGGTGGGGGAACTTGGCAGCACTGGAGAGTGAGGGGTTTACTGGAATCAGTCCCAAGAGAACTGCCCCTCCTCACTATAGAAATCCAAGGGAAAAGATGCCCCGGATTCATAGCTCCTGGGGCCGACTGCATACACTTAGTCCTCTCGTGTAGCCCTCGTCATGGCCCACGGTGAAGCAAGGTCAGAGGAGAGTGGGAATAGGAGACATTTCCTAGACATTGCAATGTTCTCGGCGTGTAGGCTGTAAAGGGCCAGGTGGGCAAATTGGCTACATGCAGCCCCTAATCTTACAGATTCCAGTCAATTTGTGGGGACGTGATGCCCTTTTGCAGTGGGGGTTAATGCTACAGACGCCTCTTTAGGAGTGGCCACTGTTGTTATACCTTTCCTACCCTTGACTTGGTTAAGCCAAACCCCTATTTGGTTACAGCAGGGACCCCTAAAGGGAGAACAGTTACAACCAGCCCATCTATTAGTAAAAGAAAAAGGGATTTAGGACACATAGACCCTTCCAACAGCCCCTGGAATTCTCCTATTTTTATAACCACCCCAAAATCTAACAAGTGGCCCTGACCGGTTTGGCTCAGTGGATAGAGCGTCGGCCTGTGGGCTCAAGGGTCCCAGGTTCGATTCCGGTCAAGGGCATGTACCTTGGTTGTGGGCACATCCCCAGTGGGTAGTATGCAGGAGGCAGCTGATCGATGTTTCTAACTCTCTATCCCTCTCTCTTCCTCTCTGTAAAAAATCAATAAAATATTGTTTTTAAAAAATCTAACAGGTGGCGGCTCTTACATGATTCAAGGGCATTTAATGCTAATATTCAACCCATAGGTTCTCTCCAACCTGGACTTCCATCTCCGGCTGTGATCCCAAAAGACAGGCCCATATCATCACGGATTTATAGCAGTGGTTCTCAACCTTCTATCCCTTTAATACAGTTCCTCATGTTG